CGGGCCCGGCCCGCCTGCTTCCCGCCTCTCTCCTGCCGCCCGCAGGGTCACGGAGCTGCTGCCGCCCTTCCAGCGCGTCATCCAGCCCGAGGAGATGTGGCTGTACAGGAACCCGCACGTCCAGGCCGACCGCGTCCCCGCCCTGCCCCTCTTCGTGAGTCCTCTGCTGCGCCCTAGCAAGCACCTCCTGCCCTGTCCCCTAGCTCGGGGTCAAGTCAGTTGCAGAGGTGTCAGGAGTCGGCCCCGCTGCCCTGCATGTTTTCCGTGCAGTTTTTGTTTTATTACGGCTTTTCGGACCCAAAAGAAAGACTTTTTTAAAATGCCTTTGTTCATTGAGAGAAGCCAGCTGCCCGCCGCAGGGTGTCTGGGTCTCTTCTCCGCAGGAACGGGTTGCTAGAGAGGAAACTGCTATGGCAAAGCCAGAAAAAGATGGGTTATAGCAAGGGTTTGGGACAAGCAGGGATTGCCCTGGAGCTGACAAGATTTCCAGGAGGGGGTGTCCTGTGGGATGCTGTTTGCCGGCTGCTGTTTGCTGTGTCGCTCTCCATTTGGGCTTGGCCACGAATGGGTTCATCAGGCATCTAACTAGACCTCTGACTTGTGTACCGTGACCCAGAGGATTTACAGCTGTCTGCCGCGTAGGAGAACTTCTGGTGGGACACAGTCAGAAGCTGTGGGAGCAAAGTTTCCCTTCAGAGGCAGGTGCAGGTTGTAGGAAAGGCAGCAGGACAAAGCCCAGGCGCAGTTTGGAAGAACATGCTGTGTGTGTGGGACTGCTGGGGCACCTGCAGAAAGCATACCCCATGCCAAGAGCATTCCCACCGGAGCAAATGTGTAACCCCTGAGCATCCGTTGCCTCTGAGATGCAGGCCTCCTCATCTTGCTTTTTGCCTTAGCAAACAGCTCTAGGCTGCAGACCAAGGATTCATTTGTTTGTGTTGCAAAGGGCACAAGGAATGAAACGGAGGCATGCGGTGCAATTCCAGCCCATGGTGGGGGCAGCAGTGCCCGCACCACAGCCCCCTGGTTGATAGCCACTGTGCTGATAGCACTGCTGCCTGCGAAGCTGAGCGCTTGGTTTGCGATCTCCTCTCCTACCTTGCTTGTGTTTGGAGGGGGGAAGCGCATGGGTTTTGGGGCAAAGGCTTTTAATTGCCTTGAGCAGCCCATGCAGATTGCTGTGTGGGGAGCCAGGGTACTCCAGAAAGTGCGTCCTGTGCTGTTACAGTGCCTTTGTTTTATTGCAGCTCATTTCCTTCTTCTCTCCCGTGTCGGCAATCCTCCTGGCAAGATTCTGCATGAAAGTCACCCGGGAAGACACGCAGGAGGCTTGTTTAGGTGAGCACCCTGATAGTTGCTGTTCATAGAGACCTGTGCAGACTTCATGCCCTCAAACCAGGGGTCCTTGGTCTGACAGTAAGACCCTTGCTTCTGGCAGCAGTGACGTCCGTTGGGACTCACGGTCAGGGTGTGTTAAAAAAGGCTTGGTCACCTGCCGGATGCCAGGTTGAAGTCCAAATACAGTGAGTCCCCAGAACGTGGAGCTACAGTCCTTCCAGGCAGGAAGCCCTGCTGATCACGTGCCAGGAAGAGCTTCCCTGCGTTAGCAGCCAAAGATCATTCCCTTCCACATGGCTGCTGCTTCTACTGCTGAAGCTGGGCAGATAGGAGCATGCACCGTGCCTGGGGCAGTGCTGACACTGTTTGCTCTCTTCCAGCTGCCAGCCTTGCACTGGCCCTCAACGGGGTTTTCACAAACACTGTCAAGCTGGCCGTGGGGAGGTAAGGAAGTTATTTATTCACCAGTGCATTGCGTTGTTGTTTAGCTGTCTGCGATTAGCTATAGAGTCCCAGCCCTTGGAAGGTCTGGACCCAGGGACGGGTACTTACCCTTGCACTGTGATTATTCCCAGCTGGGAGCTGTTCTGGAAACACCCCAGCAGGCTGCTGGATGAATATGCTCTCACGCTTTGATTTCTCCCTGAGCTGGAGGGCAGCAGGCTTGGGTCGGCTTCATTGGCTGCTTCTGCGGTGCAGAGAGGACGGTGTCAGGCCGCATAAGGGAAGCGATCTTGCCTCTGCGTGCGGCCTTGGTGAGAGCACCACTGAGACGCTGCAATCAGCTAGTCCCAGGGTGCCCCCCCTCCTCTTGCAGCGGGTTGTATGGGCCCCACTCTGGCTTCTCCTTCCCGCGTGGAGCAGGGTGACAGACTTTGTTTCTCCTGCCCCAGGCCGCGCCCCGACTTCTTCTATCGCTGCTTCCCAGACGGACGGGCAAACTCTGCGCTGGCCTGCACGGGCGACGTGGCCGTGGTGACGGAGGGACGCAAGAGCTTCCCTAGCGGGCATGCCTCCTGTGAGTGCTAGCACTACCTTGTGCTGCAGCCCTGGGCAGAACCAAGCTTGAGGGAGCCAGGTGCCTGGGGCTGGGATCCACCATGCCATTGTCCTGCCCTGCAGCCTTGGGCATACTCACTAGTCTTTTTCATGGCTGCTCTGGAGAGGGGAGGCACTGGGAACTTGATGCGTTTCCCCCTCCATATGTAGAGTGTTCTCAGTGTGCACGGCCCCACTGTGACTCTCTCCCCACCCCAGCCCTTCCTTGCCCATGTAGCAGAAGTGCTGTGTCCTCCCAGGTTCTTTGTGTCTCAAGAACTGGAAGCTGCTTTTCCCCGCTAGCACTCCTGGAATGGAAGTACTGGGCCCCGGGTCCCTAGAAAGGGCAGAGTGGGGGCCACGGAGCACAGTTACCTAAGTGCTGGGCTTTCCTTCCAGTCGCCTTCGCTGGTCTGGCCTTCTCCGCCTTCTACCTGGGAGGCAAGCTGCGCTGCTTTGTTCCCGGCGGACAGGGAAAAGCCTGGCGTCTCTGCACCTTCCTGGCACCGTTGCTCCTTGCCAGCCTCATCGCTTTGTCCCGCACCTGCGACTACAAGCACCACTGGCAAGGTGAGTGCCCTTGCTTGGCTTCGTGCCTCTACTGGGGACAGGGACATGGTCAGAGATAGCAGGGGCAGTGTGGGCGAGACTGTCCTGAGGTTAACAGAAGAGTTGGGGCAGCACAAGAAACCCTGGCTGACAGGGTACAGCCATGGCACATCCGTGCTGCTCAGGGCTGTGTGGAGTGGCCCAGGCTCTCGGTGGTGGAAGGGGCATCTGCAGAGGTACTATAGCCACGGGGGCCCCTAATCTGTGTGTGTTTGCCCTGCAGATGTGGTAGTGGGCTCAGCCCTTGGCCTCATGCTCGCCTACCTCTGCTACCGGCAGCACTACCCCCCACTGACGGACCCCGAGTGCCATGTGCCTTTCCTGGGTAAGGCCAAGGTGCTGCCTGCAGAGGAGCCCAAGCAGGCCAGCTCCGGCTTCCTCAATGTATAGCGAGGATGGATACTGCTAGCTCCAACCATGTGGGATCCTCCCTCCCTCCCGCTTTTGGGACCACAGGGTGGGGACAGGGACAGATATTTTGGGGAACTGAATTGCTGCCTGCTTGGAGAGGAAACTTGAAGGGGGGCAGGCGAGAGCCAGAGGAGACCATCACCTCTGCCCGCGGTGAGTTGTCCTGCTTATCAGGCCCCAGGCTTCCTGTCCCTGTGGCCTGTTTTGTGAACCTGCCCTGCTCCATGCCTGCTGTTGGGGGAGGCTGGGTGGGTTTGCAGTGCCAAGCCTGCTGGAGGGGGGCAGGGAGCTGCTGCGCTGATCAGTGCGACGGGGGGCTGGCAGTTGTGTGTTGGGATGAGCTTGGGCTTTCCGCTGGCCCGGGAGGCCCCTTCCAGCCCCGCGTACTATTGCGCTGTCCCCGTCTTGGTGTTTTTACTGTCCAATAAAGAGCTGAGTGTGGTGCTTTCACTGGGAGTTGTAGTGCTTGTGGCAGCTCAGAGCCTGGGCCGGGCCTAGGAAACCATTCTGAATGCAAGGGAGGCCAGTCTCCTGGTGGGGTGGGGTGGGGCTGGCTGCTCTTCATTCCAGTTCATGGGAGCAGAGGACACAGCACACATACATGAGAAACCCTCCCAGGGCATGCTTTGAGCTTACAGAAGGGCCCTCCCCCTGCATGGGGTGCTTTTCACCTGTGCTGCTTTTGCTTCCTTGCATAGGGTTTGCAAATGGTACAGCTGCCCTAGGGCACTAACATGGCCAGCACTTTGGGCCGTAACGCAATATCCTGCATCAGTCCTTCCCCCCCGCCTTCCCTATACAAACAAGCTTGGCACCCCACAGAGTCATGTCAGCTTTTACTGGAAAAAAACATTAAATAACATTTGAAATGTATTTAAACTTTTCCTGTTTACAAAGTGCATAATTCCAAGAGCTGCTCCTGACAGTGCGTCCCAGCCAAGACCGTCCTCCCACAGACGGGCAGGAGGTGCTTTAACCAGAGGTTGAGCCCTGCAGCGTCATTTCAAGAGCAGTTTCTGGGTTCTTTTGGCTGGAGTGGGGTTGGGGATCATGAGCAATGTGCACCATGGAAAAGACAGACTGGAGCTATGGGGAAGGCCTGGCACCACATACAGTCATCACTGAGAGAGAACACGTTTGGGGCATCTATTTCAAACTCTATCAAACACAGCAACACCCTAACTAACTCCACTACCTTTGCTTTTCCATGCTGCATCTAGGCCAGGGTTCAGTCTAGCCAGTTAATGACCCTGTACATCTTTGGTTACAAGGGATATATCTCTTCAGGATCTCTGGCCCTTCTTGCCTTGACAATTACGATTCCCCAGCCACTGAACTAAAACTGCAGTCATAGCTCCCTATAGAAGGCTGCTTTAATTTCACCACTGGGGACATTAAGACATTCCTATAAACTTGGAGGCAACATCATCACATCGCCTACAGACACAAATATAAAAACATAACCAAAACAGAGCTAGACACTTCCCTTTACTGAATCAGTGCAACCAGGGAGAAAGGGGAGTGTGTAGACTGTGCTTGTATGCAGCACTGTGACCCTCTTCCTTGCTGGACCCTGGCTGATGGGCTGTTGGATTTTCACTTAAGCAGCTTATGCTTGAATCAGGATGTAACTGCTAATGAACTACCCCCAGGCTGTGGTCCTGTCTTGTTCCTGCTGCACGGGGTCCACAGATGCCTATGGGGGGGACCCAGACCCCTCCCACTTGTACAAATTCTGCTCTGAACAAAATAGGAGGCATCTGGCCCTTGGGAGGAGATTGGAGTTGGGAGCAGAGTCTAGAAGAGACGCAGGCCTCCCCCAGTTGCTGGTCAGTGGTCCCAGCCAGAGCTCTGCATCAGCATTAGTGTTATGCAGCAGGCAAAGGAGATGAAAGCCACATGGTGGTCCAGACCCAGGGATTTATTCCCAGTGGTTGGACTAGTCCTAGAGCTAGTCAGCAAGCAGTAACTAGACACACAACTGAGGGGAACAACGGTCAGGACGTCAGCAGATGGAAATGAAGATAAACCTCTGGCTGGCTTTTGTCACAAACCTTCCTGGCTGCAGAGACCTGTGTAAGATTCTGTACAAAGGCTGCTGCCAGTGCCAACACATTAAAAGCTGCCATGGACAGTGCCTCAGGGGTGAGGCTGCCATGCTGACTGACTTGGCACCTCCTTAAAGAAATGGGTAATTATAAGTGCTTCCTTTGGTGTATGAGAACATGCCACTTTCTTTTTGATGCAGGACCCTGCTTAGCGCACCTGGTGGGTGCAGAAACAGATCGAGAGCAGGTTAGAAGAGAATCTGGGTCATGATAAAACCCCTAGTCACTTAGCAGCTGTCGGGAGTGCTTGCTCCTATGCACTGCCTTATGGCACTGCAAGAGGAGGAGAGAGACCATATCTCATTCTCCCATGACAAATCAGCCCCTTATCCTTTATTCACTCTCATAAGATGCTGTGGTTCTGTTTCCATAGCACAGCAGGTACCTAATCCATTTACAGCTTTGAGGTCTCAAGGTTGCAAGTGTCCAGTTCTCCTGCTATGCAGGAGATGACTTGAGGCTCTCAGTCTCCAGTTCCCAATCCAGGCCACCTCTATCCCACATCTACATTGGAAGAGCTAGTGTTGCAACTTACAAGACAGACAAGCCAAAGAGTAGATAGGGACACAATGCCACAGGGAGTCTCAGTTGGTCTCAGGTGCTGAGTCAGTGCTGGATATTCTAGCAGAGATTTTCACTGGATTCCTACCCCTTGGACAGAGAGGGAAACTTTCCAGCTCTCCAGGCAGCAGCAGGTAGTCAGGAAGCAGCATGCAGAGGCAGCAGCAGCACAGGATGGGGAGGCAGAGAGGATATCCGGGCTTTCCCGGTGAGGAGTCACATATGTGCATCTAGGGAAGCAAGAAGGAAGGGTACATAGTTTACCAGGATGGCAGTCACTGTTGCTGAGAAGCAGGATGCATTTGCAGAAGCAGAGCGCCTGCTCACGCTGCCACCCTCCTTCTGCTTCCCATGCTGCCTGGGTCTAAGCTGGGTCGGATATCTGCATTGTGCTCTCCAGACAAGCCACAAATGCATGAATAGCTTCTAATTTGACAGGGCATCTTAGCAGCAAGGTGACTTACATCAAGTTGCAAGAACAGTGCAGCTGGTCAGTGCCTTCATTGTAGAGGCTGATCCAACATAATGCCCTGTGTTTGGTAGATCTCTTTCAGCACCAGCAGAACAGTATCTTCTGACTCCCTGGAGATGGAAAGCCTTGGAATTAGTATCTGCACATGCTAACAGTCAGAGACAGTCCACTGCATACCCTCCTGTGTTGAGGCACTGGCTAGTACAGGACAGTCCTGTAACCTGCTTGTCTATAAGCAACTTGACTCTGCCTGTTCTACCACCCTGTCTTTAAAGCTGCAGATGGAGAGTGCAAGAAGCTCACCAGTAGCAGAGATGGCCTTGCAGGGCGAATAAATACTCATTGAAGCTCTCTATCGGCTTCTCCTGAAGCACATAGTCAATGCGGTGGCCACCATTGAGCATTCCCACATTTATAGGAGAGGCCTCTTCCTTTGCAGCAGCAGGGGGCTCATTGGGCTTCACCTCTGGAAGAATCAACCACAGATGACAGCACTGATTCTGTGACAGCACAGAACCAGTGCCAGTGCCATAGCCAACACCAGCAACAGGAATGGAGCCCAGGCTAGAAGCTAGATGGGAAGGCAATCCACACAGCTCCTGCAAGAGGAGTGCCACACTGCAGCAGAAGGCCAGAGTGACACGACTGTCGCCTCCAGGCAGCATGAGGAAGTGAAGGTTCAAGATGCCATCTGTGCTCTGAGCACCAGAAAGTCCCTCCTCATCCAGGTAGCATGATCACATGGCGTGGGTCAGAGGGCAGGTTCCTGGGGGAAAGGGTCCTTGCCTCATGCTTTCACAGCATCCAGCACATCCAGGTTCTTGGGCAGTGGGAACAGAAATGCACTAGCAACAAGGCAAGCAACCCAACCTTGGATGACCAGGGAGCCAAGTGACCACAGGCCAATTCATTGCCCTCCCTGGTATTCCACGCCCCGCCTCCCCCCGAGCATGGTAGGGAAGGACGAGGAGGAAAGCTCCTGGGTTGGCCTTGTACCACTTCTCAATCTCCGCTGATTGTCTCCTCAGCTAATGTCACCCACCTGTTTGCCCGTCTGAACAGTTCTGGGATTCAGTTTCACTCTCTGTGCTGGCTGCCTCCACGGCTGGCAGCGGGGCCCTAGTGAAGGACTGCCAGGCAACACGAAGGGACCCCAGCAGGTTATTCTTGAGGTCCATGCTCATGCGGGTCAGGCCTTCCTTCAGTTCTGAAACACATGGGGTCACCATAAGTGGGAACGCTGTGTGCAGGGCTGGGACCACACTCACCTGGACAGCAACCTCTGAGAGAGGAGGCTTGCCTGCCTTACCCAAGTGCATCCGCTTCCGGCCCTTGTGATGGGGGAGCAGCATGGGCTCAAACTCCATGTCTGGGACAATCATGGGCTCGATCCTGTAGGCCACGGGGTCAAACTGTGCAGAAGAATAGCAACTAGTACTGGCTTGTGACCCACATACAGATGCCCCCATTCCCTCTAGGGAGAAACCACTCAGCCTAGGGAATCTTTTACCTGCTGCTGCTTATGGTTCGGAGACAGGCATCGCCTAGTAACAAGGTTAATGCAGAAGGTGCCATTGGAGCTCTAAGGACCAGGGGCAGCTTTAGCTACCCGGCTCCCATCCACTGTGCTGACTGCAACAAGTGACTCAGGGGAAGGGGTACCCGGGGTCCCAACTAGTCACTGGCCTCCCCATGTGGGTCTGTTGTCTCGTCTCCACTCAGGAGCCAGTGTATGAGCACTAGTCCCGTGACTGCTGATTCCACGTACCGGATGAAAGATGTTGAAGAAGCCTTTGCAAGTGGGGAGGCTGTAGCTTGGATCGATCCTTTTCACACCTCGCACAGTGAGGAACATCCCGATGGGTGATCCGAAAGCAAAGAAGATAGCAGGCTTGTAAATGAGCTGTGGGTAGTTGGCTGAGACCTAGCAGAGGTGAGGTAAGAGGCAGTGAGGAGCAGCGCCTCACTGGTATTCATGGCACCGTGGGAGTTGTCAGTGGGTAAAGTGTAAGCTTGTCCCTCAAGGATGTAATTGTTACAGTAGCAGCTGTGGCCTAACACTACTTGGAATGGGAATGAGCTCAGCAGCCTCTGGGACCTCTTTAGGAGGAATGGTACAAAAGACAAGGCAGGCTCTCTGAACAGTGGCCAGGGGAGGCCAGCGTTGGGGTATCAAAGGCTTTGATGCTGCAGATTAGTCCCCGCATGGATGAAACTCACTCTTGTCACAAGTTCCAAGCTACTCACAAGACTAAACAAGGTACCTCTTTCCCTGCAGTCCAGGAACAGCAGCAGAATCTCTACAGATG